AAAACAATGGTAGTATTATTGATATGCAAAGTGAGTGAGTGTCTCTTGAATAGATAAAAATATAAAGGGAATTTTTTAATGTATTTCAAGAGAAGTTGTCTATGCTACCATTGGAGAGAGATAAAGTTTACATATTTAGTAGCTCTAGAGTACTTTACTTATATTTATTATTCTATATCGGATGGTTCTTGCTAAACTAGAAGAATGAGAATTCAATTGAAAATATATTAGACCGAGTATTTATTCAATTTAGCAATTTGTGGTGGGGTGCTCATGTTGTGTTTGTAAAAAAAATGATTAGACTGTGAAATGGAACATAGGTTACTACCAGTTGAATAAGACAACAACGTGTAGTAAATATCTTTTATGTGGTATTGATGATTTATTTGATCAATTGTGAGGCACTAGATAATTTAATAAGAATGATCTTAAACTGAGTTATCTTTACTTAAAAGAAAGAAATGATAATGTTTTGAAAACAATATGTGCAACTAGGATATTTTTGTTGTATTTTTGGTGAAGTCATTGAGATTGAGAAATGCTACATCTGTTTTGATGGATTCACTAAATTGAGTATCTCAACTTTATCTAGATTCATATGCAATTATATTCATTAGTGTTACACTTGTGTATTCTTATAGTAAAGAAGAAATTACCCTACTAATGATTTTGGGTTAGATGTAATTATATTTGCTTTGAAGTTATGGAGAAAGACATGTAAGATTTATTTCGATTATCAAAGGTTAAAAGATTTATTTACTGAGAAGGAGTTTAATTTGAAAAAAAGAAGATGGATGGAAAAATTAGGGACTATGATTATTCTATTATTATCATGTAGGCAAAGCTATTATAGTGGTCAATATACTGAGCAAGAAATCATTAAGAAGTTGTATTGTATTCAATGTACTCAAATGAGTAATTTGGTTGATTTGAGATTGATAGGGGTACAAGTGATATTGATTGGTGTATATGTATTATTAGCTCAATTGCAAGTTAGAATCTTTTGGTAGATCATATTGGTTAACTAAAAAAAAATTATAAATAAATAAATAAAAAGACATGTGTAGAGTATTAGAAATGAGGTGTAACATAGTAACATGATAGATTTTGTAATTTATGCTGAGGTTATATTTATATTTTGGCATTAGTTATGAGTACTAAAAGAGAATACATTGAAGGGAGACATTATAGATGCAACCTATAGTTATATGTTTATTCGAGGAGTACGAAATTATATTGATATTAAGATTCTATTATTAGTTGAGTGGAAGGGAATAGAAATTGTTGAAATTGTAGTTAATGTGTAATGCATTGATAGATAGAGATTGAATATCAGTATCTTATAGATTTATTACAACTTCTTTCAATTTTGAATGGAAAATGGGAGTATATTTTATGAATTTTCTATAATGACTTTTGGGATACAGATTGGACATGAATTTATTTTGAATTATTGTGGATTAATTGACGAAGTTATTTGGTAAAGATGTTTCATTTTCACGACATACTTTGTGTTGTTATGCTCATGAAGTATGTATACCTGATTTTCCTTGTATATTGGTAGAACAGTCTATTGAGTTTAAGGAAATTCTTAATTATGTTGAATAGTCAATAAATTTTGGGAAACAACATGATTCCATTAATCAAGATATTGTGGAAGAGTCACTAAAGCGAGAAAGTTACTTGTAAAGTAGATAAAAGGAAGGAAATTGAATATCCTCATTTGTTCTCACTAGGTATATAAATTTCGAGGACAAAATTCTTTTAAGGGGAGAGAATGTAATACCCAAAATTTTTGAAATATATATATAACTCAGTTTTGGTCAAATTGTTATATTATTTTTGAAAAGGGATGTTAGTGTAATTAGTGAATGAGAAATTGTAGGGTTATTGTACGATTTTTTTTATTTTGTATTTACATATATGTAGCTAGTCAAAATAGGGCAAAACAAAAAAACAAAAAAAAAAGGAAAGCAGGATTCTGCCGCTAGAGAGAGAGAGAAGGAAGGAAGAAAGAAAGAAAAAGAAGAAGGGATTTGAATCTATTAAAGATATGAATCCATCATTTATTTTATGGGTTTTATATTAAATCACATGGTGCTAGTTTTATATATATGTGTGTGTGTGTGTGTGTTCATGATGGGAAATAAAGATAAATATATAAATAAATTTTATTACAAGTTATTAATTCTATGTATTATTAGATCTAATTTAGATTGGTTGACTTTGAGACTTGTAGATAATTTAATTATGTGTTAAAAGAAGAAGAAAAACAAAGAAGGACGAACCAAGAAAGTTGCAGAACCAACTTTTGTAGGTTGAAGAAGATGGGATTTTGAAAATTATGGAAACGCACCCTTTAGTTTCAAAGAGTTTTACTTTGACTCCTATATTTTTTTAAATTTAATTTTAACCATTGTTTCACTTGAAAATTTAGAAAAATAGAATCTTAGAAAAATTATGGCAGGCCCGAAAACAAAAAAAAAAATATTTTTAAGGAAATTACACTTTGACCCCAAAAGTTTCAAAACAATTATGATTCAACCCCACAACTTTAGAAACTTTTTCCAAATAGGCCAGAATACTTCCATACCCTATTACCTCATATTATAAATGATATTTATATGTAAAAGATATATTAAGTATATATATCAATGTGTGAGAAGTATAAAAATTAAATATAGAATCGCGAAACGACAAAGTTAGGAATATGGATTGATTGTGATATGTTATTTTGGATTAGGTGGTGATTTCATTTGAGGTTGGGAAAGCGTGCTTTGAATTGAATTTTGGAAATCAAGGCGAGTAGTTTACTATCTCTTTTGAGGGGATTTTCTATATTAAATGTGTGGGTGCGTGCATGTGGATTTTTCATATATATGATATATGTGTTGATGTTTGGGGTTGCTATTGAATGTTTGGAAATTGTGAACTATTATACATGTGAATTTTGAAAAACTTGTGAAAATTTTTTATATCATTGCTTTGGCGATAGAAGAAAAATTTTGTGTGCGTTGGGATTAAAACTACAGTTTTGGTGTGTATGGAAATATATGTTTATGAGACGGAGACTAGAGTTACCAGGTCTAAGTGATAACAAGTGACTGAGACTGAGGTTACCAGGTCTAAGTGGTAACAAGTGATTAGGTCAGTCATCGGGCTAGTGATGACAAGAGACTGAGTCAGTTATCAGGTCAGTGGTAACAAGAGACGAGGCCAATCATCAGGCTAGTAATGACAAGAGACTAGGCCAGTTATCAGGCTAATGGTAACAAGAGACTGGGCATGTTACCAAGCTAGTGGTAATAAACATGATTTGACAAGTGTGTTTGGGAATTGAATGAGTGTGAGTGTTTTTGGTTATACATGTCTTTTCATTTATAAAGTTATTTGTGAAAATGAGTGGTGTTTTGGGCTATAAATATCTTTTCATTTACAAAGTTATTTGTAATCATGAAATTATTTTGTTTAAATGATTATATGGGAGGGGTTGGGATACAATTTATTGTACTTTTGTATGTATCAAAGTTTATTTTTGTATATAAACTCTGGGATTTATTTTTGCACCTCATTAAAGGTGGTTACTATTCATGGGTCATTGTGCTCACCCAAATATTTAACATTTTTCAAGTGAGGATCAGGGGGAGGAGTAAGTCCTCAGATAGACAAGGGATTAGAAGAATTGAAGATTTATTTTATCGTAGGTCTTCAGGAATAAATGTCTTTTGTAATTTTGAGACAAATATTCAATTGTTTTGTAAACAATGTTGCTTATGTTTAGAGTAGTGAACTTTATGAATTAATTATTGTTTTACATGAGTTTAATAATAGTGTCGGTAATATTAGTTTATTCCTTTGGTATTTATTAAATCATTGGAATTGATCACTTGTCGTTCACTGTATTTTGCATTTATTATGCATAGAGATGGTTGGTTAAGGCCTTGGTGCCGGTCCGCTGCTCACCCTATGTGATCCGGGGTGGGGGTGTGACATACCATGTGCAACAGTGGGCCGAAGGAACAGCTGCACATCATAATGTTAAGGAACTATTCAAGCTTGGCATTCGATGGAGAGGAATGTTATAGAATGTTGTTTTGGCTTACTCAAAAATCGTTGGGCAATCCTAAGGATGCCTTGCCACTACCCCCGTACGTGCACACAATCGAATCATTGTCGCATGTTGTTTGTTGCATAATTTGGTTAGAAATGAAATAACATTCAATCCATTGGAAGATGAGTTTTTAGAAGATGCTCTGGCCGATAGTCAAGATGATATAGAGTCAAATGTGATCGACATGGTCGACACATCTAATGAATGGACTGCTTTTAGAAATCAACTAGCCAATGATATGTACAATGAATGGCGTGAAAGTAGGGGTGGCTAATTGTTTGACCACATTTGTAGTAACATACCAATTATGTTGTTGAATTTATGTGAACTGTTTGTGTTTTCTTATGATCACTTTATCCAACTCATAATGAATCATGTGTTTGTTTGTTATTTAATTGTATATGGCATGTACGTATATAAGTAGGTCATGTCAAATGTTGGTGGTGGTAGCCAAGTAGAGCGTGGTCCACACCAAACATGGATTGCCGTAGAGGAGGTTACTCTCATTTAAGCTTTGAAAGAACTTTGTGTCAACGAATGGAAGTGTTAGAATGACACGTTTCACCTGGGTTAATTTCAAACATTAGAGCACAACATTAAGGATGCATTCCCAACACTTGATCTTCAGGCATCACCACATATTGAGTCGAAAATCAAAGCCTGAAAAAAATAGTACAACTCTTTGTATTCAATGCTAAGCACATCCTGCTTTGGGTGGAATGATCGCGACAAGAAAGTGGATGTGTATGGTGAAGATATCTGGGTGGAGTACTTGAAGGTTTTACTACTCTCTTGCATCCATTAATAATAGTAAACCAAGATAACTTGTATATGTTATACCCTAGTAATTTTTTTATTGACAATGTAAAAAGACAAGAATACGGAGGGGATGCGTGGTAGATCATGGTCGTTGTATGATGATTGGGTCCTTATATATGGAAAATATAGGGCAATAGGCGAGTTTGCACAAGGACTAGAGGAAATGATCAAGGACAATTCAGCTGTTGGGGATATCCCTAGGGATGCCAATGTAGAGGCTCATCCAACTGGGAGAACAGATGATGTTAACCACTCGCAACGTGTAACTCAGGGCAGGGAGGGTGTGAATGTCACCCCACAGACACGTAAGACAAAAATAAAAATAAAAAAATCTAGAGATATAAGCGATTCAATGGCTACAAGTCTTTCCCATATATGTAGGGTATTCGGTGATTATATTGTTTCAAGCGAGAACCAACTAGCAAGCATTGCACAGAGGGTAGGCTACGAGCAAGATGCATCTATAAGTAGACGTGCCATCCTAGCAAGTTGTCGAAAATAGATGGCCTCACAATGGCACACCGACATGAGGCAGCATACAAAATTGCTTCAGATAACATAAAAGTTGACATTTTCTTTAGCTTGCCCATGGAAGAGCGAACACACTAGGTTGGTAGCATACTATGGCCTGATTTAGATGTTTATCAAGATCATATGTAAAGGTATATGTGCCCTGCTTGTGAACTAAATTTTGGTTGACCCATGTGTCACATTAACTTTAGAAACTTATGTATTATGTGGATGTTTTGGGTGTTTGACTTATTAATTAGATGTTTTACTTCTTCTTGGGTAGATGATGATGAATTATATATGTTGATCATATGTAGGTTTGTGAAGAATTTTGCATTTCTAGTTTTGGTAACTTGTTTTAAGAACTTTTATGTTGGACTATCCATATGACTATTTCCTATGAATGTATGGTTATTGATGATGACTTGAAAATATATTTTGTTTTTGTAATTGTTGAGGTTTTAGTTCACAATGAAGCTACCCGACGTTACAGAGGATGAAGTTGATATCATGCTTGACTTATGAGTTGACTTTAAGAATCGCACAAAATTACCTGTAGCAGGCAGGTATTCACAAAGACTAATTGATGCACTTTTTAAGCGGATGCGAAGAAAGACACCTAGGTTTCATCTGTCTATGAGTGATATGTTAAGGCTAATCCTTTTTTGGGAGTGCCAATATAAAAGCATTGCAGAGATGTTAAATAGTGGAATGTTTGTTTGGGACACACAGACTACATGTGTTGTTGAAGGCCCAGAGTCTGGTGGTTTGGATTTCATTCAAGTACGTGATTCTAATCAATTTGTTTCACGTTCGTGTTGGTGTGCCATTGTTTTATTACTTGACACATTTATGGTTCTATATTTTAACTTAGACACATTTATTACTGGATGATTGTGTTGCTTGTAACTATTGTTTGGATCCTTGTCCAAACTTCCCAATATTAGAAATTATTTTCAAGAATGATGTACCAACCTCAAGTCAACAACACATTGATAGCAGTGCTAGATCATGCCCATCAGTAAATTCGAGGAGGAGGAAAGATGATGTCGTAGTTATTGATAATGATTGACCTCGTCCTCTGTCATGTAACAAAAACTCGGGGTGTATGTACTTGGGCAAACTCGCCCAGGTGAACCTGAATGCCAATGACTTATTTCTTTAGTTCATAGATCATTCGATAGAGGCAGAGCTGTTTGATTACTCTAGTATTGTTGTATATTTTTAGTGCAAGTTTATATATTATGTTGGATATGTGGGTTTAATTATGTTGTGTGTGGCATTCGTATGCCATGTTCTTAATTTGTGCTCAAGGTTGTATTTGATTGAATATGATTCTCAAATATTAGTTCAAATGGTTTTGGGGAAGACAATTGTGCTATTTTGTAATTTTTTCAGTTCATTTTTTGGGTGCTTATTTTTTTTGTTTACCGTGATTATGAAGTCCAGATAGCAATTCCTATCATAATGGCTCGACTTTTAACTTATCCTGAGCATGTCTCCCATCATAATATAGAGAAATTGAGGCAGTGTGTCCGTAATGGAGCTAATAAATACCCAGGTGCAAGATTTCTCAAAAAGTCTGATGGTACCTCAATGTAAGGATTCTTATTTGTCATTATTTTCCACATTTGTGTATGCTTTGCATTAATATAGGTCACTTGTTACGCTAAAGTCCTACGGGGTTTCTTTGCAAGGTTGGGTTCAAACAACAAGATGGAGTGGATATTTATAACTTCCTTCATTTGGTGAGGAGCACTTCCAAAGGCCAAGAAATGAGTACTGCTAGCCCTTTTGCCATTAATGCCTTACAGTCATGAAATTAGTTGCCATTGTGATGTGTAGTGTATGAACTGCATAGTTTCAGTGAGGGTAGTAAATTCAGATTATGGTAATGTAATAGTAGTTGGTAGTTATCTCCTAGTCAATAATTAGTCTTGTTTTAACAATAGAAACTGGTTCTTCAATTTTGCTTTGGACTAGTTTTTCTATTTATTTTTTTCTGTGGTGAGTGCTAATCTGTTTTGCTGTAATTTCGTTTTGGTGCACAACCTGGATAGGCTCTCTTCTAAATACTCAAAAATGCTTCATGGGAAATTGGTTAGTCAGTCATATTCTTTCTCCATTACAACGTCTTCACTGGCAAAGTTTGTCACCCATGTATTTATGTTTTTCTCTGCTAATAATTTTTCTCCATTGTCTGGCAGGCTGCTTCTGCAACATTATTAGGTTGGGGTGCCTATTGCAAGGCTGAGGAAGGTAGTGATTGATCAAAGGATCAGGAGCTGAACTGTGAGGAGACTAAGATGCAGGAATATAGCGTAAAATGGTTTTAAGACATTTCTTGTATTTTTTTTTCAGAACAGTTTGGTTCATGTGTATAGGGAGGCAAACTGTTTGGCTCATTTTTTGGCAAAATGGGCTGTCAAGCAGATTTGTTCTGCTGATTTTTCCCTGGACTTGATCATTCCATTGCAGGCAAAGCTGCTGATGTTACAGGATCAGGAAGGGGTTAAGGCGTTTAGGAAGAAGATTGTAATTCTTTGATACTTTTTATTTTTCCATGACTGATAAATGGGGTTTGCTTCTTGTAATTTTGTTGGCAAATGAAATAAATTGTTGATTTGTTTGAAAAAAAATGAAAAAACATTATGCTATTATGTATTGACTACTCCGTAGAGTTGCGTCTGCCTTGTGAGGTTGCTGCTGCTTTGGGGAATACTCGATCTGTTCCTGCTGCTTTAGTATTGATTTGCTGGAAATTTTAAAGATGGAAAGAGAGTTGGAATGGAGCTTATGGACTAAATGGTTTTGCTTGCTATTTGGTTTTGCTGGTAGTTTTTTGACATTTTAGTTGATAAGGCGACTGTGCCTTTTTTTTAGTTTGGTTTTGTAAGGTTGTTTTGCCTTGTTTGCTTCTTGTAATGACTCTGTTTTTTGTAAATAAATAAATTTTTTCTGTTACAAAAAAATATTTGTTTGGAAAAAAAAAATACCCAATATATATATAGTTAACTTTCCTAATTTTTATATGCTTTTATGTATATATGGAAAATGTATAATTTTATTAGGCTTGGATGGGTTAACCAATCATAGGATATGATTTGTTTGAATTAGAATGAATAAAATCATAGGTAGAATGGTAAACTATTATAAAATTATGTGTAATCTATGGAGCCCTTTGAATTATACACTTATTTGTCAGACAAATGTTAAAATTGGATATAATCTTTGGTTAAGATTTTAAAATGGATGAGTAGGTTAAACGTGAATGAATTAGGACATAAAAAAACAAATTATATCCTATTCAACCCCATTAGTCTAGCACACCCTAAAGATATTTTATCGCATCACGTGGTCATGCCCTACAATATACATATTTAATAAATTAGAAGCAACGATTGACGGAAATCACTTATTGTGGAGTTCACTCGCTTTGGACGGAAATCAAGTAGAAGCAAGATTTGGACGGAAATCACTCGCTTTCTGAAGTTCTCGTTTCATTAGATTAGTTAATATTACCAGTTTAAGGCGTAATTCTGATCATTATACAAACCATCTGAGCATGAAAATTCCACCCCAGTAATCGGAGAAGGTGGATACAAAAGCCCAGGATCTACAAATGGCGCCACGAAGTCGTTCATGCTGTTGTAATCGTCTTCCAAAAATGGTTCTGTCCAAAAATCTCCGACCGGTTCTGCAAATATTTCCCCGGAGAAACATCATCATCTCCGCCTAACTCTCTGCCGTTTTCTCCGGCAGAATCTGTGGTTGAAGTCGAAAATTCACCAGAAACTAGTTGTGGAGACAATGGGCAGCTTTCAAGGATTCGTTGATTTTCAGGGTTTAAAGGAGATGGTTGATCAGTACTGCTGGTTTCACCGTGAGAATGATCGTCGGAGCTCACTTTTGGTTCATCGCAAGTTGAGTTTTGCTTTGAGCGTTTCTTGAGGTAGGTGTGCCAGTGGTTTTT